CCCGTCCCGGGGTGGCTGCGGGGTCCTGCAGGGGTGGAGCTGGTCCTCCGAGCTCTCCCCGCCCCGAGGGGCCGTGTCTGCCCGGGTTGACCGCGGGGTCCCGGCCTGCCCTCCCGACCAGCGCTACCAGGTGGTACAGATACAAGTTCTTGCCCAACGGTGGGGTGTGGGCGGCTCTCCTTTCGGGCTTGTGGGCGTCCTTGGTGGAGCTGAGCTTTGCAGGACCAGAGATGTCAGTCTGGGCTGCTGGACTGGCCGGCTGATGTAATGGGACGTTGTTTTGAGACAGCGCGAGGGAGCGCGCTTCGTTCATCCAGGTACCAGCGCTGCCTCACCCGCTCTCACTGGTCCTTCTCGTCGGGGACGGAGGTGGGGCCCTGTGGCCAGCGTGGGGCCCACGGGGATGGGAGGAGAGAGGCGGAGAGCCCCCAGGCCCCTGTGAGGGCTCCTGGGCAGCATGGTTCCCCTGCGTGGCCTTTGCAGGAGTCTCGTGTCATGCAGACACCGCCCGGCCCCTGACGGGTCAGCAGGGACCCAGCAGGGCTCTGGGATGCCTGTGGTTGCCTCTGCCCCTTGCCCCCCGGCTGAACAGCCACTCACCGCTGCACACAGCAGGCCCCCTCGCACCCCGGGTCGCGGCCTGGTGGAGGTGATCCTCGTGTTGACCACGCCCCCGCCCTGGCTGGAGCCGCGGCTGCGGCAGTTCATGGGCGGGCTCCTGGGAGTTCCGCGGGTGAACACACACCGTCTGTTTCTTTTTGACCGCACCCAGACTTTGTTTCTTTGTCTGAACTGTTACTTTCTGGTCTGTGCCGTTTTGGGTGTAGCTGAGAAACGCGTGCTTGCAGAGGAGCGGGAAGGGAGGGGGCGTTGTGGTGCGACTGGGGCTGGAAGTGTATGACCCCCGTGTCCAGGAGGAAAGGTGCGGTCGAGAGGGTGAGCTACTTTTTTTTTTTTTTTTTTAAAGATTTCATTTATTTATTTGAGACAGAGAGAATGAGAGAGAGAGAGGACACGAGAGGGGGGAGGGTCAGAGGGAGAAGCAGACTCCCCGCAGAGCAGGCAGCCCGATGCGGGACTCGATCCCGGGACTCCAGGATCATGACCTGAGCCGAAGGCAGTCGCTCAACCGACTGAGCCACCCAGGCGCCCACATTATGCAACTTCTTCTTTTTTTTTTTTTTTTAAGATTTTTTATTTATTTATTTGAGAGAGAGAGAATGAGAGAGAGAGAACATGAGAGGGGGGAGGGTCAGAGGGAGAAGCAGACTCCCCGCAGAGCAGGCAGCCCGATGCGGGACTCGATCCCGGGACTCCAGGATCATGACCTGAGCAGAAGGCAGTCGCTTAACCAACTGAGCCACCCAGGCGCCCGAGAGGGTGAGCTACTTACTGGGAGCGCTGGTGTGGGGGCGGACGCCTCGGACTCTGGCCCCAGGTCCCTCCCTGGCCCTGCCTGTGCTGGGCCTCGGTTTCCCCTGTGTGAGAGCAAGGCTGGCCCCCCTCGGAGGGCCTGAGGTTCTTCCTGCCCTGGAGCTCTTATGCCCCTGGCCCGCCCACCCTGCTGGAGTCGTCCACGGTCTCAGAGGGCCCGGCTTCCTCTCAAGGAAGGACGGGCCCTGCACCACTGGGGAGGGGAAGTGAGAAGATGTCGGCTGTTTTGTGGGTGTCCCACTTCCAGCCAGGCTCCCGACGGGTCGTGTAGCTAGGACATGTCCCCCACACGCCTGTTTGGGGGGCGAGCATGACCAGCCTTTTTGGCCCGGGCCCACCTGTCGTGTTTTAGGAGAGGGCCCGCTTGCGCATTGCCAGGGCTTGGAGGCCTGGAGCTCCAGCCCGTGTTGGGTGTGCTCCTGTCGAAGGTGGGTTTGGTCAGGACTCTGCCACTGTGGCCACTGGACGCAAGACTAGGCTGCCCTGGTGTGGTCTATGTGAGCCTCCGTTTGTGTCTGGCTGAGCCAGCCTTGGGCTCTGCGGGCACCACTCGAGGGAGGACTCAGTGCCCTTGGCAGGGCCCAAGATGGCCAGACGTCTCCCACCCCTGCAAGATGATGCCAGGCGGGTGGCCCCTACCCCACCTTATCAGTGTTGTAGGCCTTGAGCACGGGGTTGGTCTGCTGCCCATGGGAGAAGGCGGGCAGGGCGGGGCATTGGCTCAGCGCCGGGCGGGGATCCTGAGCACGCACCTGCTGCTCACTGCGGCGCTCCGGGTGGCTGGTGGGCTTGGGAGGGCGGGGCTCTGGACGTTTGGGCGGGAGGCGGTGGGTCAGACATGTGTGGCCCGCCCCGCGCTGGAGGGTGTCGGTTCGGGCACTGGGACGTCCGTTAGCGGTGTGCGGCCCTCACTGGAGACGTGTATTTCCTGGTAGGTTTGCCGTCTCCACATGTCGGAGCTGATGGAGGTCTGGCCCTGCCCACAGGTATGGGGTGCAGGCAGGAACCGCTGGGGAGTTTACAGTTGGGGGTTCCAGGGCGCCCACGGCCTCTGGGACACAGGTGCCTCTTCGTGCAGTCCTTGGTGGGGAATCCCTCTAGGTCCTTCTGTCCCTGGAGGCGGGCGCTCCAAGTTGGGCCCCAAGCGCGGGAAAGCCAGGACACCGCTGCTGGTAGGAGGATGTGTCCTTGAACTGGACACCTGGCAGAGGGGTCGCGGGAGGTGACGCTCAGCGTGTGGTGCCCGGCCTCTCTCGTGTGTCTTTGGCAGGGGATGCCTCCTGCTTGCGGTCCTTCCAGGGCATGTGCGGATGGCGTGGCGGCCTCAGAATAGCCGTGCTTGAGCCAGATTACCGTGCTGGCCTACATCGAGGATTAGGGAGCAGGTGGCCCCAGGCCGGGACCCAGGGCAGCCCCGGGGAGTCTGCCGGCCCGCTGGGGGCCCCCAGATGGAGCCCTGCAGGGCCAGCCCCAGGAAGGAGCAGCTGCGGCTGGCCGCACACCCTCCCAGGTCTCCCTCTGTCCCCACCGTCGGTGCCGGTTCTCCTCACGTGGGACGCCCCGTGGCTGGGTGGTGGCAGGGCGAGGAGCAGCCTTTGCCCCTTGTCCCCGGCGGCTGCCTCGGGAGGGATTTAGTGCTCAGGGGGCGGGGGGCAGGCAGGGGTGAGCTCCAGCTCTTGCAGAGCAACCTCGGGCTGATCACAGAGCTGCACCCTGCCAGGAGGTGGGGCGTGGGGGCGAGCTGGGGGTGGTCGGGTGGGTGCGAGCTGGTGGGGCCGGGGTCCTCTGGAGGGCCCTCTGCTCCGGGGGCAGCTGTCCGAGCCCTGTGCTGCAGGCCGGCCACCTGCTGGCTTCCCGGGGCCCGGCGAGCAGAGGGCTGAGCGCGCTGTGGTCCTGTGGGGTCAGCCCCACGTCCCGGCGCCGTTGTGAGATCAGCCTGGGGCCCCGCGTGGAGCCAGGAGCTGCAGTCCAGGGCTGGACAGCCGGGAGCCGCACGGTGCGGCCGGAGCGGGTTCTAGTCCAGGGCTCCTGGCTGCGCCCCGGCACGGCCTCGCTGACGTCTGTCTCCCTCGCCCACAGGGATGTCAGGACCGAGGCCGGTGGTCCTGAGTGGACCATCAGGGGCCGGGAAGAGCACCCTGCTGAAGAGACTCTTGCAGGAGCATGGCAGCGTCTTCGGCTTCAGCGTGTCCCGTGAGGCCCAGGCTGCGGTGGGGGTGTGGCGGGGGGTTTCAGCCATGCAGGGGCGGGGCCAGGCCCCTGCTGACCCACACAGACGGGGAAGGGTCCCCACGCGCTGACCCTGACCTGCAGCCCCCCCCACACACAGACAGGGAAGGGTCCCCATGCGCTGACCCTGACCTGCAGCCCCCCACACCCACACACATGGGGGACGGTCCCCACGCCGCTGACCCTGACCTGCAGCGCCCCACACACGGGCAGAGCCTGGCCCGCGGGGGAGGCGTGGGTGGGGTGTGGGGGTCCAGGTGTCCCAGGTCGATCCTAGGCACTTGTTCCTAGACACCACGAGGGACCCGCGGCCTGGAGAAGAGAATGGCAAAGGTGAGCTGGGCCTCGGCGTCTGGGTGCCCGTCTGCAGGGTGGGCAGCGTGCTGGCGCTCGGGTGGAGACGGAGTGAGGTCGCCGCGGGGCATCTCTCCTGACCCGTGCGAGCGTGTGTGGTTGACCCCAGGCTTCCTCTGTAGTGTCCACGGGATCAGCCCCCGTAGCCTCCCCCCAGGAAGCCCGTGGTTTTCTGGCTCTCGTGACAGGGATGATGTGAGAAAGTGCCGTACGTGGGTTCTCTGCTCGGTGGGGCTGACAGGTCCACGGGGAAGCGGACTCTGGCCACGTTTGGTCCCCGAGCGCCCTGGGGCTGGGCCGTGGGCAGGCCTCAGATAGCTGTCCTTGCAGATTACTACTTCGTGACCAGGGAGGTGATGCAGAGGGACATCGCCGCGGGCGACTTCATCGAGCACGCCGAGTTCTCGGGGAACCTGTATGGGACTAGGTGGGCCACCCTGGGCACCTCCCCTCCTCCCAGGGGCTCCCCCTTTGGCTAGACCCAGGCAGGGCGTCTTGTGTGGGTTCTCTAAGGTGCCCACCACGTCAGGGGTCGAGACGGGGCAGCCGTTGGGGCTGCCTCCTCCCGGCCACCTGTGTGCCCCTGGCCAGGCCTCTGTGGGAACCGCAGGTCCCTGGGGACGGTGCGCAGAGAGGACTCGGGGAATCCGGGTCCCCTAGGTGCACAGGCTGCACTGTGGCCTGCCTTCCTGCAGCCCCTGGGCGGGCATGGGAGTGCCCCCTGGTACACAGGGTCTCTGCCCGCTCTTCCCACCTGGCTGGCAGGCCCCGAGCAGGGTCGTGGGCAGGCGGGCCCAGGCATGCCTCTGAGCAGCCTGTCCCTGAGCCGCCTGGCGAGGGTGAAGCGGCGACCCCATGGGATCTATCTTGCTGCACCCCAGGCCCTGGGTGCAGCTGGGCGGGAGGGGGGGCCCCAGAGGGGTCACTGGGGCTGTTGGGCAGGCGCAGTGACTGCCAGGGCCCTCGTGCCACTAACCACAGCCACCCTCGGCCCAGCAGAGGGCCCAGCACGCAGATGCTGCAGAAAGGGGGACGAGAAGCTGGGGTCCGGGTATGTTCTTGCGGACGCTCTGGCCGGGCCCCCGCCCAGCGCAGGCCAGTGGGGGAGGCAGGAGCCCGGGGCATGGGCAGCGATGGTCCTGCGGAGGCCCTTCGAGGCCTTGGGGGGCTGCTGGGCCCAGGCAGCCCCACTGAGCGGTTCCTGCTCCTCTGTCCTCCAGCAAAGCCGCTGTGCGGGCCGTGCAGGCCATGAACCGCATCTGCGTGCTGGACGTGGACCTGCAGGGTGTGCGGAACATCAAGAAGACGGACCTGCGGCCCATCTACATCTTTGTGCAGCCGCCCTCGCTGGACGTGCTGGTGGGGGCGCTGGGCCGAGGCTGGGGGCCGGGGGTGCCCTGGGGCAGGATGCGGGCGACCCCAGGGACGCTGACCCTCCTGCGTGTTTCAGGAGCAGCGGCTGAGGCAGCGGAACACGGAGACAGAGGAGAGCCTGGCCAAGCGGCTGGCGGCCGCTCGGGCTGACCTGGAGAGCAGTGAGTGTGGGCCCTGGCCGCCGGGTGTCCCCCCGTCTCCTCAGCCAGCACGGGTCCCCCAGCAGCAGGGTCCCCTCCCGTGGAGGACCCCCAGAGCCTGCACTGACCCTGTCCCCCCACCCCAGGCAAGGAGCAGGGCCTGTTTGACCTGGTCATCGTCAACGACAATCTGGACGTGGCCTTTCGGGCCCTGGAGGAGGCTCTGGCCGAGGTGGGCTCCGCAGGGGGTGGGACTCAGCCCTGTGTTGCACATGGGAGCGCGGGCTGGGTAGGCCGCGTGGCCGTCAGCCCGCACTGGGTGAGACCCTCCTTCTCTGTCCACGGCAGGAAATCAAGAAGGCTCAGCGGACCAGCCGCTCCTGAGCAGGACCACCAGCTGCGTGCTCCCTGGTGGGGACTGCGCTCGCCTCGGCTAGTGCCCAGACTGCCGCGGCCAGAGGACCCTGGCCTCCCTTTACTCCTCTGTCGTGGGAGCTGCGCCAGGGTGTAATAAAGAACTGCTGGGCAGCAGTGTCCGTGAGCCCATGGCCTCTGTTCTGGGCAGGGCGAGGGGGACAGGGGCCGTGCACCCCTCCACAGTGGATCCCTGCTCCCGGCGGCCCGCCAGACTCCCTGGGTTCTACTTGCTGGGGCTCCCTTTGCCCCGTCTTCACACCAGGGAGACCCTTGGCCTGCAGCTGAGCTGGGGCCCCGGTTGGCGTGGATGAGCCTGCTGGACAACAGCTGCCTCTCCCACTGGCTCGTGGAGGTGCCATGAGGCCTTGTATGGGGAGAAGGACCCGGAGCTCATCCTGCTGGAGCCCCCTCCCTTCCTGCTCGTCCCTACCCTGGGCCATGCTGGCTCAGGGACAGCCACTGCTGACCGGGAGGGAGGCCAAACCCCTGCACTGTGCCGAGTGCTGTCCTCTGTCTTGTGCGTGGTCCCCTGAGCCCGGTCCGGTCCCCGTGTTCCAGGGAGGACACTGGAGGGTCGGAGAGGGGCTGTCCCTCAGCTCTGGTCCGTGCCCGGGCCATGCTCCTGTGGTGGGACCCAGGCAGAAGTAGACAGGCTGGGCGCTGTCCCAAAGCCCAGATGCATGGACGAGGGTAGGTGGGAGCCTGGCCTGGATGCAGGCCGGCCACATCAGCCGGCAGAGGGTTACTGGGCATCCCCCCGCCCCCAGGCCAGAAGGCAGGTGAGGCGGGGCCAGACTGATGTGCGGAGGGAGGGGGGTGCGGAGGGGAGGCCCCCTTCCTCTCTGGGCCCTGTCCAGCCCCAGGGACAATCGGGAATTCAGACCCCAGGCCTTGGGGGGAACAATGGAGCCCTTGAAGGCCCTCCCCCCGCATTGTGCTTGGTGGTGAGAGGTGGCCCTGGGTCAGGCCCAGGACTCGGCCAGGCACACACCCTGCGAGGGCCAGTGTCCATCCGGCTGGCAGGTGGAAGGGCTCAGGGACTCCCATTTCCTGGCCTGGAAAAGGTAGGGCGCTGTCCAGGGGACCAGGCGGGGGCAGCTGTGTGGGGACAGACGTCACGCACCCTGTCTGTGGGCCCGGGGTCTCGGGCTCAGGAGACGCACTCGGGGGACACCAGGTACTGTGCCTGGCTGGACCACCCTCCGTTCCCAGGGGACAAATGGCACGGTGGGGGAGGTGGGGCCCCAGGGCTGCTCAGGCCAGCTGGTGAGCGGGAAGGGAAGGGGGTGCACCGGGGACCTTCCCCAGCAGCTGGGGCTCCTCAGCTGTGCCGGTCCAGCCAGCCAGCTGCAGTGTGTCCAGAGGCTGGGCCTCAGACGGTTCCGGCCCTGTGGGAGGCTGGGGAGGCCTACCCCGCACACGTGGCCGACACACCGGGGTGGGTACACCTGCGTGCCCAGCACAGCGCTCCTGAGCCGGCCTGGGGCTCCTTCCCGTAAGTCCTCGGGGGCGCCTGCTAGACCGCAGGTCCTCAGGTCTGGGCCCCAGGGGTCACCGGGAGCAGACCAGACCCCTGTTGTCCAGGAGCGGCCCCCAGCGTGCCACAGATGTGAGTGAGTGGGCGGGCGGCCGCGGCCCCGGGCACGGTGCCAGACTGCCGTGGGGCACGGGGTCTGGGCAGGGTGGCGGCACTTTGGGAGGGGTGGAGGCCCCTGCGGGTGGTGGTAGGGTGCTCTCGCAGGTCCCAGCCCTCCCCACGCCAGGGCTCCCGGGCTTCCTGCCACGGCAGCCCCAGGAACCGCCGCGACGCCCTCCCCAGACCTGGCCCCTGCGGGACGAGCACCCTCACTGGACGCAGAGGGACTGCAGGGGGGAGCGGTTTGCCGGCCCAGCCAACCTCCCCGGTTCATCCTGCCCCTGCTGAGCACCCGTGTGGTGGGAGGGGGCTTGTGTGTGTGAGCGAGGGTGGGGGGGTGCGTTGTGCACACGTGCGAGTGCCGGGGTCTGTACGTGGACCCTGTGAGGGTGGGGGCTCCCTGGGGCAGAACCCACAGGCTGAGTGTGGAGCAGGAGGGGGCTGGAGAGGGGAGGCAGTGGGGAGCCTGGGGCAGCCCCTGTCCACCAAGCGCGAGACCAGTGTGCTCGGGAGCCACGCGGGGTAGATGGCAGTGGCAGGGTGCCCTCCACGCCTGGGGTTGGAGGACTGGGCCGCCTCTGCTCTGGGCCAGGTGGTCCCGGTGGAGCCCGACTGAGGCCCCCAGGGTGGCGGTCCAGGGGCCCGGGGCGGGACAGGGGACACCCGTAGAGCCAACAGAGGGAGACCTCGGGGGAGTCCCGTGGCCGGGTCAGGCCCTGGGCTCTGAGCTCTTAAAGTTCAGGCCCAAGCTGACCTTGGGGTGCTTGTAGGCGCTCATGTGTGGATGAGGGGCCACCCAGTGCTGGGCGTGCTTAGGAAGGGCAAGAGGCTGCCTCAGATGCTAGGTTCTGCCGGAGAACCTAGCGGTGCCCTGAGGTTCCCAGGGCAGGGTCCCTTGCAGATTTGGTGAGCTGAGCATTCTGGGGGGGCCTGCCTGGCAGCCCCACCTCAGTGGGAGGAAGCTCCGCCTGCCCTGGAGGGGCTCCTGGGAGGAAGCCGGGCCAGGGATGGGAAGGAAATGGCTGGGCAGGCCCTGGCCCTCACCCCCCGCACACCCCTCCGCTCCCAGGACCTTTGTTCAGACCCCTGCAGGCGTGAGAGGAGCTCAAGTGCAGAGGCCACTCGTGGATGCAGGCCATCCTGCTGCCTGCCAGAGCCCACCACCCTCCTCCCGGCAGTCTGGCTGCCGCCCCCCACCCCTGCCGAGGCCCTCGCTTTCCCCTCCCGGATCCTGGATCCCGCTGAGAGCGATCCCACCCACACTTGCTCTGACCGAGCTTTGGGGGAGCTGCCATCTGAACGGAGCTTAGGTCCCTGCAAACCAGCACCCCTACCCCCCACCCCACCCCCACCCAGTGGCCGAGCCCCACTGGCCTCCTACTGGCAGCACTGGACAGCCTTGGGTCAGCCCTTCACCCCTCCTGGGGGTCAGGGGCCTCCCTGGGGCCTGTGGCTCAGCAGGAGTCGTCAGCCAAAGTCCCTGCTCCACGTTGCAACCTCCGGAGAAGTACCTGCCAGACAGGAGGACCCCCGTGACGGGGCAGGGAAGCCACCCCAGCTCCCCAGCAGCGCTCTTCCCATCATCAGGGCCCCTTCTCAGTAACAAAAGCCCACACTTGGTCATTGTCCTCCTGCTCCCCTGTGTCCTCTCCTGGAGCCCTTCCACCCCGAACATCGAACATCGGAGCGTTTATCCTCACAACTCCTCCAGGTGCCCCAGGGTCTCCCTGTGCACTCTCCTGTCCCTGTCCTCCGCTCACCTGTGTTGACCCCCTGGCTGTGTTGATGTCAGGTACCCGTGGAGCAAGGAGTCTCCGATAACGCTTTCCTGCGGTGTCCCCATTGCCGGGGGGCGGGGGGGTGGCTGTGCTCCAAGCCAGCTTTCTCACCAGCCTGGGGACTTCTGTTTTCTTAGGATTTCATTTATTTATTTGACAGAGCACAAGTAGGCAGAGGGAGAGGGAGAAGCAGGCTCCCCGCGGAGCAGGGAGCCCAACACAGGGCTCAATCCCAGGACCCCGGGGTCAAAGGCGAAGGCAGACGCCCAACCGGCTGAGCCCCCTGGGCGCCCCTAGGCTGGGACTTCTGCCAGCCTGGACGCTCCCTCCTTGCTGCGCGGGCTCTCTGGAGGGGCCGTCCTGAGGAACCGGGAGCTAGGTGGTGGGGGCTGCATACACTCTTTAGGGTTCCCTTTCCTTCCACTTTCATTCATGTAACCGTGTATATCAGTATGGACTCATTTATTTTACACTTTGGGTCGGACTCTATAACTAACCCAGTCTGTAATACTGCATTACTCCACTATTACCCAAATAGACGTGGCTTCAGACACAGGGCGCTTCTGCGGTGCGCTGCCATATCCCTCACTGTGGGCGTGCGTGTGTGTGCACGTGCCTGCCTGTGTGGGTGCGTGTGCGTGCACGTGTGGGTGTGTGTGTGCACGTGCCTGCCCGTATGTGCACGCGTGTGTGCATGTGCTGGTGTGTGCGCACGTGCCTGCCTGTGTGTGCACGCGTGTGTGCGGGCGTGTGTGTGCACGTGCCTGCCTGTGTGGGCGCGTGTGTTTTCAAGTGCCTGCCTGTGTGGGTGAGGGCATGTGTGTGCACGTGCCTGCCTCTGGGTGCGTGTGTGTGCACGTGCCTCCCTCTGTGGGTGCGTGTGGGTGCAGGCGTGTGTGTGCATGTGCGGGCGTGTGTGTGCACGTGCCTGCCTGTGTGGGCGCGTGTGTGTGCAAGTGCCTGCCTGTGTGGGTGCGGGCGCGTGTGTGCACGTGCCTGCCTCTGGGTGCGTGTGTATGCACGTGCCTGCCTGTGTGGGTGCGGGTGCGTGTGTGCACGTGCCTGCCTCTGGGTGCGTGTGTGTGCACGTGCCTGCCTGTGTGGGTGCGTGTGTGTGCACGTGCCTGTCTCTGTGGGTGCGTGTGTGTGCAGGCGTGTGTGTGCATGTG